ATTATGTTCCGCCCAATATAATATATTTATCCTTGCCCATGAGAAAAATTATTTAAAAAAACAACAATACAAGTAAAAAGTAAAGATCGTAACCATCCATCACCCCGAATTTAATGCGAAACACGTGAATTTATAGAGAAACACGTGCGTTGCTTCATAGCTCGTATTCTAGCGTGTTCCGGGTGGGGTTCCGGGTGTTCCGGATGGGGTTCCGGGTGTTCCGGGTAGGGTTCCGGGTGGGCTCCGGGTGTTCCGGGTGGGGTTCCGGCTTTTACAGACACCCCACTGAAACCTCTGCGGAGGAGAGAGCAATCGAGTGGCGATTTAATATAAGCTACATTTGCAATATATTTCGCTAATTTGTGATTATTTCAGTTTTAATTTAAATTCAGCCGTTTAGTGGGCTGCCTATGCTATAATTAGATTGTTGTTGTCGTTGTGTGAAATTTAAATTTCTCCTGCGACATTTTGATTGGATACTAAATATAAACTTTGCTGTGGGCGGAAAGCGATCAGGTTAAGTTTTGTATCAGGCTCTATTTGTAAAATAGAACCTGATACTCAGGTTACGCAAAAAATCTCTGCTAGTTCATCAAGGAAAACTTCCGTACGTAGCAGACAAGGTTGAGGAGAGCCAGATGGCCCAACAACAATTTCGAGTACCCGAATTAGCACAGCAACATTTCGAACGCGCATCGCCTAAACTTATTGAATTAGAAGATAAAGAGCTCGAAAGACGCAGTAGTGATATCGAACAAACGTTAATTAGGCCCGTAGACGAACAGTGCGACATGTTTCATGTATCAGAAGAAAACTATGCAAATTATGAAAAGAATGATAGGAATGCGTCAAATCATAGGGACGTAGACTTAGATCAAATGACATTGCGTGACGCTGAATATAACTACGCGAGCAAAGAAAAGAATGTTAGGAATATGACGAGAGATTTATCACCCAGGAGGCAAATATCAGGCGAACAATTGTTTGTAGACAAACAGTCAGAATTACCAAGTAGAAGAAAGACAGAACCAAACAGCCAGCTAGAAAGGATTCGTATTCCAAAATTTGAAGGAGATAAATTAGAATTTCAACAGTGGTATACAGCATTTATCAGTTGCGTAGACGAGACAGCGATGACAGCCCAATTCAAGATGCTGAGATTAGAAGCGTGTCTCGGGGGGGGGGAGGCCCGAGAAACTATAAGGGGGCCCGGCTACACTCAAGTGGCGTACGAAGCGGCGAAGAAGAGACTGGTACGGAAAT